GGCCTGCTTGTATACAAATGCTCAGGGTCTTTCTAACAAACTGGCTGAACTGAAAGATCGTCAAGCTTCCGGCTCGTATGATGTCATTGGTATCACCGAGACATGGTTGCACACGGGAATGACGGACACTGAAGTTTCGCTAACGGACATGTCGCTGATCCGGAACGACAGACTCACAAAAGGAGGAGGGGTAATCCTATACTACCGAAACGACTTACAGTGCGAAGCCGTGAAGGATTCAGACTCGCAGTTCCCCGACTCTCTTTGGTGCCGGTTATAGTTAAAAGGCAGGGAGGCTTGCCTTAGTATCTTGGTGTACCGCGCCCCTAACTCAACACCCGAAACCGACTGCCACCTAGCTGCTGCTTTAAGGTGCAGTTCACAACAAAAGTACACTCACATTCTTATCATGGGTGACTTCAACGTACATCGTTTAGAAGTCCCTGCCACGATCGGAGAACAACTCAAGACCGATCTACAAGATCTAGTAACTAATGTTCCTGTTTACAACCACATCATTTTGCTCACTCGGTGCAGAACTGGTAACAGGCCGTCTGTGCTGGATCTTGTGCTTACCAACGAGGAGCATATGATTGATGCGTTGGTTTTAGACTGCTTATTGGGTCGAAGTGATCACGCAGTCATCATTCTCAATTTCGTCTGCTACGCGGAATATCTGAATGATAACGATGAGACTGTGCGAACCATCACAAGGTACAACCGACTCGCCCAGCTCGTCAGCGCCACAACATGGTCTTTTCTCGAAGAAGAACCCCCGGAAGTCGCCTGACCGGAGTTCGTCAAAAAATTCAGTCAGCTGATTGCAAAGGCTTCAGAGATAAAAGCTTGCAATAAGTGCAAATCCGTTTCTTTCGTTAGAAGTAGAACTCGAAAATGGATGACAGTACGCAACGCAGCATGGCGAGTGTACAGAGAAGCTCCAGCACCAGAAACTTGGGACAACTACGTAGCCCAACGTAACCACTGCACTCAACTGCTAAGAGAAGACAAAGCCGCCTATAAGCAAAACATCGTAAAAACCTTCGGTGCTAACCACAAACTGCTATACAAGCACCTTAATAGCCTACGAAAGGTGAAGCAAGTATTTCCTCCACTCAGGATAGCTGATGGCCCAACAAGAACGGCTGCGAAAGCAGCAAACGTGCTGCAGATGCAATACGCTCCCACTTTTAATGCGTCTTGCCACCAAGCGATCTACCAAGATTTGTATTCTGCTCGCCAGGACTAACCCACATCACTTTTACCGCAGAGGCTGTGTTGCAAAAGCTGACTTCTCTACGCAAATACAGCTCGCCGGGTGTCAACACCATTCGTCCAGAGGCATTGGGAGCAGCAGCAAGCCAACTGGCAGGACGTTTAGCTCAGTTTTTCCAGCGCTGCTTAGACCAGAACCAAGTTCCCGCCATGTGGAAGCTTGGAATAATAACCTCGATTCACAAAGGTGGAAGCAGAACTGATCCCTCCAACTACCGTCCAGTATCCCTTCTTCCAATACTCTCCAAGGTCATGGAATCCATAGTTGCCGATGCACTGGTGTGTTTTCTGGAAAACTGCAACCTCATCACTCCTGAACAGCACGGTTTCCGTCGACAGCGGCCATGCAAAACGAATTTACTAATTGCACGCAGTAGTTGGACCGAGTCAGCTAACGCTGGAGTAGGCGTTGACGTGATCTACCTGGATTTTTCCAAGGCTTTCGATCGTTAAGACCATCGGATACTGCTATCCAAGCTGCAGCATTACGGGATCAGAGACCCTCTTCTAAGCTGGATCGCCAACTTTCTACTTCAACGGCAATTAGTGGTCAGCGTTCGGAGCTCATTATCGGACCCCCTACAAGTGGAGTGTGGTGTGCCGCAAGGCTCAGTTCTAGGTCCACGTTTGATTTTGCTATTTATTAATGACCATGCACAGGGAGTCGCTTCAAACTTCCTAATGTTTGCCGACGATATCAAGATCTGGCGCAGGATCCAGGCGAACGCCGACCAACATGTGCTTCAAAGTGACTTAGATACAGTGTATCAATGGTCGACCCAAAACGTATTGCATTTCAACGTCAGTAAATGCAAGGTGCTTTCCATCCGACACCAAAGCAGCTACTCACACCGACTCGGAACGGATGTACTGCAACAATCAACTCTCGAACGTGACTTCGGTGTCCTGGTTCCAGATTACTTGGGTTGCTCCAGGCAATCCGAAAAGGCCTCAAAGACCGGGAACCAACGCGTTGGGCTGTTGAAGCGGGTGTTTGGACAAATAAACAGCTCCATAATTTGACAAATGCTCAGTGCGTATGTTCGCCCCCATGTCGAATATGCAATTCAAGCCTGGCATCCATGGCTGAAACACGACCTTACTGCACTGAAGCAGCCACAACGCCGGGCATTTAGGAACGTAATTGGAATGCGCAATCTTTCCTACCAGGAGAGGCTGCAACGACTGGGATTGTTCAGTGGAGGCTATCGCAGACTACAAGGAGACCTGATTATGGCATACTTGATTCTGCGAGACCCACATCATGTGTGCCACCTTTTACTGCAACTCAGCAGCAATACAAACCTGAGGGGCCACTCAATAAAACTCATAGAACAATACAGTCGTCTGGAGTGCCGCAGAAATTTCTTTTCCATTCGAGTCTGTCACTCGTGGAATGCTCTCCCAGAATCGGTCGTCTCTGCAACAACACTAACAGTATTCAAAAGGCGGTTGGACGAAGCACTCATCCACTTACGCTTTGTCACTTAACACTACGTCTCCATCCTACACCTGGAGTTTACCATGGAATTATCTGTTGTTAACTGTGAGTGCTGTGAATCTAAGAGGATCGCAGGACTACAACGAAGCAAACGATAAGTCTTTATTTTCATATTTAAAGTATTAACTAGCTTACTATCCTTGTTATCATTATTGTTATGTTGATATCCCCACCAACTATCCAACGGGACTTGTAAAGCAGCGCTTCTTAACCCGTATAAATTCATTGTTCGTTTTTCATTGTACTGGGTAGATGCAATAGGTTGTAGAGGACATACTGATCCCGCGATTACCAATCCCTGTGAGGTTCATTTTCCAAAAGTGCCCAAACATGTCAACCCTGTCCTGCGGTTATAACCAGCAAAATCAACCCCTAACCATTCATTCTACCCTTCGTTTTGCGTGCACTTTCCTGTGAACTTCATGCACAGTTCCCTTCACTTCTCAATGACCCCACTTGTGTTCCCACCCTAGTTCCACACCAAATACTGAATGTCGACCCAGAGTTCTGCACCGATTGCTATTATCTTTTGATCCGTTGTTCCGCGTCGATTATCTGTCTAGCCGATCCACTGCACCAGTGTATTTGTGACCCCATTAAAGAATGATCCAAACAGGTCGACTTCACTCCACTTCAGCGCTCTCCCGCCCACGTCCTATGGGGGCAACTAACCAATACCATCGTTCTTTTGTTTCATAAGAACGTTGTGCATTGTCGTTGCGTCACTTCATACCCGGTCATGCTGAAGCACATTTTTTTGACTGTCAGACCGAAGAGCTTGCTACTGTAGCTGAGTTTAGTTGAAAGTGTCACTCGAGGTATATATTCCTCATCATCATACACGTTAGCTAGAGGTGGGGAACACCTCAGCTACTGTGCCGCAATACATAGAAAAAAGGAGAGCAAAAAAATGCAACTGATGCAAACCGGCAGAGTTACCGGTAACGGATGGGCATCGTTCCGGTAAGCTACCAGCCGGCTACTGTGCATCAAAAAATACAATGCGAAATTATATAAAGCTAAATAATGAGATTGTGGTTGGAGGGGGAGGCTAAGAGGGATGGGGTGGGACAAAGAAACTCACAGCACGAACGTCACTGAGGTCGGCTCCTAGCCATATCAGCAAGTGTGTCCAACCAAAGGTATATATTCCTAATGCTTACTTAATCACAGAAAATTAGGGACTCCGTCAGTGTCATCGCACGCCCGAAAAACACTGCACAACCGTTTCATCCTTTCGGAAATCGTCAGCAGTACGCATTCTACCAGACCACTGTGGGGCTCGACTGTTGCCAGTCTGTGGTCGAGATCACTGAGCTACGGGGACAATAACTACTGTCGTGGCTAACTTATTAGATGGAACATAGCGCTGCTCAATATTCACTGACTTGCACGTTACTACTGTGCAGAGGACAGGGTATCCCCCTCACCAAGCGACGAACTTACAAAGCTTACGTCGCTAATTAACGTACGGCATTGTAAACAGCTTAGTCTGAGTAATGATTAAAAAGGAGGGATTAAATGGTGTAGGTAAGAATTCAGCACATCTAGACTTAGTCAGACAGCAAGCACTGTGCCGCCGTCTCATCCTTTTGTGGTTCGTCAACAGGGCGCATTCCACCCGTGGGTTTGCTGGTTGTAACGGCAGGACAGCGTTGACATGTTTGGAAAATAAATGGAATACGTACTGCTGACGATTCCCGAAAGGATGAAACAGCTGTGAAGTGTTTTCTAGGCGTGTGTTGGCTATCTAACGGGCCTAGACGTGATAAACTCTTACCTGCTTACTTATTTGTTCGGAAATAGTATCATCATCCAGTTCCGGCTTCGTTGTTCATTTGATCCCGATAAAAACGAATAATTTTGACTTTTCAAGCGAATTCTGACGCTTACAAGGGTAACCGAATTCGCAGTCCTATGCGTTTATGTCAGTCTGCGTAGGGATGGTACGAACAACCATGAAAGTCAGAGTACCCAACCGCAATTTCAGCCCAACCTAGGTAGGAGCGCTGGTCTGTGGAACACAGTCAGGACGGTCTTTCCGTCCCTGGTACAAACGCAACCCGGTCGGTACTTTGCAAAAATCTCATCCAATTCGACTGCTAGTGCCAAACAGTTCTACAAACTTAATGAGTAGTACGGGGGTTTGTTGTGATTTTGGAGAAGACTCGTTGTAGCTAGGCTCAGCCAGAGAGCCACCACACATCATCAACAACCTTCTTACCAAACCGCGGACGTGTAAACCGATTAGACACCCAAGAACCACGCCATCCGCAAAATCGTCATCGAAGTTGATGATTAACCGCCTTCTCGGTGTCTGACAGGAGGACGAACGCCAGATGAGCTCGCAGCCTTGATGGTAGGAGAAGTTGACCCATCCAAGGAGAATGCGTTCATGCAGTGAGTAGCAATTTGAGCTGTTCTGCAGGCCTGGTGCAGGCATGTAAACGAAGGGCGGAAGATTGATGCCGTCACCTGGGATCTGTTGCTGCTCGCCTTGTTCGTCTTCGGTACTGTTCATCGGCTGTGTAGCAGTGTCATCTACTACCTCAACAGAATCGATGCACCTCGTCTCTGCAACTGATTTCGAAGTGAACTGACGGAGTAGCTGTTGAGTATGAGCAAGGTAGTTCACCTGCATCCGCTGCACCACAAGACACTGAAATAAAACAAGAAGAGATAGTTGAGTACTGATAGCCCTATGTAACCGCCGTATTTCTCATCACCAGTGCGGTCACCAAAAATTCGCTTTTGCAAAGTAGGTGCGTGCGTGGCCACATAAGTAACATGTGACAGAAGTTTGTTACCTGCACCAAAAATTGGTACGACCAAGGTCTGCTGGAACGACTTTTGGTAACTTCCGTGTACACATAAATTTGGTGCAATAAGTTTCCACTGAACAAAGCTTACAACGTTAAGGAATGCAAATCACGACTATCTGCAAGCTTGTCGGGGTGGACTTAACCCAACTCTTTCCAGTGGGGGAAGTGCCCAAAACTTATCTGAACCAAAACGAGCTGCAAATATTGTCAGTATCATTCAGAGAAGTCGTTGCGGTAAGCAAGTTTCGGAGAGGTCTAGTTATACTTATGATGCGGCTAGGTGGCTACTACACGGTGTATCAACCAACATTTGTGAATACAATGACTTACTTCACCCACCCTAAATGTACAAACTAACAGATTCTTACCACACACACACACACACACACACACACACACTAAACACGTTAGCCATAGGTGGGAAACACCTCAGCTACTGTGCCGCAATATCTAAAAGAAAAAAGGGAATAAAATGCAACAGGTGCAAGCCAGCTGAGCTACCGGTAACGGATGGGCATCGTTCCGATAAGCTATCTGCCGGCTACTATGCAGCAAAAAAGTAATTTTCTATGCAAAATTATAAAATGCTAAATAATCAGATTGTGGTTGGAGGAAGAGGCTAAGAGGGATAGGGTGGGACAAAAATACTCACAGCACGAACGCCACTGAGGTCGGCTCCATATCAACAAGTGTATCCAGCCAAACGTGTTCATCGTCTTTCGGACCCCAACCAGGGAGCCGAGACGCTCCAACTGAGGCCATCTTCGAAGTGAGGGCCTTCATTCCTCTAGACCAAGTCATCGCTTGGCCACCTCCCCTCTTCTTCCATCCACACCCCCGGCGCGCAAACAACGCACGTCGCGGGAGTCGGTGGGCCGGCATGCGTAACACGTGGCTGAACCATCGGAGCCTGGTACGTGAAATAACGGTACTGAGCGGTTCATTTCCTTTTCCTGTACAGTAAACAAGGCGTCGAACACGCTCGTTGCTCACGCGGTGTTCCCACCAGATGTGAGCTAAATTGCGAAGGCACCGGTGGTCGAACGTCTGTTTCTCTTCAAACAGATTCTTACCAGTCCTGTCTAATTATCTACACAGTCCATGAAACGGCGAATTGCATAGAACGCTAGAGTTTATTTTTTAGATGGGAAAATCAAGGTATCACAGACGGTTTATAAAGGTCCCGTGATCCGAGAACACAGAATTTGGAATTATTACGGATGCCAGGTAGATCAACACAAATTAAGCTTTATGAGCGCAAATGGGTTCATTTGCAGTATATACACTACTGTTGCCGATGTAGCTGAAGTCGATACCAATAAAAAACATGCGAGGAGAGAAATAGAACATATGCACAATTATCACTATAACAACTGCTTGTGCAGCATGCTTATGGCTATCGTTGTGTCAACAAGCAAGTGTGGCAGCTAAGATAGTATTACTATACGATAAAGTGCGAAGATTGAAACTTTAACTTTTGGTCGCATAGAAGGAAAAAAGCATTTTTGAAAGGTCACTGTTCAACAGACGAATGTGGTTATTTAAGGCCTTGGAAGATAAATAATGTGTGCGCCAAAGTGCCTGAAAGTTATAATGGTAACTAAAGAATCCATAGATAAATTGCTTCATCTGGAAACATACTTTATCGATCGTACCAGGTTAGATGACTGAGAGCAGTATACTCCACTTGAGAAAATGCATGAAGTCACAAAGTTAAAGATTAGAATACGAGGTATTCAGAGTAGCAAGTCTGAGAGTATTAAAATAAAGTTTTATGATTTCGTAAGTGTCACAAATGTGCGTGGACCAAAAATGGTTTTGGGACAACAGGATATCGAGATTCTTGAAGGTGGATGATCTGGGTATAGGGCTACTGCCCAATCAGAGTGGATATACCACAAGTTATCGCAACGAAGAAAAGAAATTATTAGATTGCTGTATTTGGAAGCGTTAAAACTAACGGATCTGGAGGAAGAGTACTCCATTAGACCTTCTAATCCATGTTGATGCAATGATAAAGTCTGAATGATGGAAGCCCAGCACAACGCTGCTGGCATATTTACATCAAATAAACGTGGGCTGTACAGACAGACATTCGACATATAAAGAGAGTAAAAGGTTGATAAGATCTCTTCCTGCAAAACACCACAATCGGTACAGAGAAGAGGATTTCTTATCGTTTAAGTATGTATAGTGGCTGCGATCCGAAAGATCATCCAGCAACAGTTTCCACAGAATTGACAGACATCATCGCTGCTGTTTAACAATGAACTTAGAATTTAGAATAGCTTTAGCTTTGCCCCACATCTTTAAGCTTTAAATAGCACGTCGTCGCCCTCTGGCTTGCTCCGCACGCCTGAGGCGCGAGCGGAGCTGAGTAGTTCGAGCAGCGGGAAAAATGGAAAGTTATGCCATGAGCCATGTCTTCAGGTCACATACATTTCAACCTGGAGTTCGTTTGTTCACCAGTTGAAAACCCCATACTAACGTTTCATAGTTGGTTATGTGGATGAATATGGAAGGCTTGGCGTCCACTAGGGGTAAGGAAATGACCCATAATATTGAGGTGTGTCATTCTGATTATTCCGAAGAAGCTGCACTGAGTTTGTTTAGCCTTAGCTTGGCTGATGACCGGAGAAACCGGACACGAAAATTGCGCACACGGAAGTGCGCTGGTTTGATCCCTTAGCACATACTCGACTGACCTACGTGCCAAAGCTTTCGTGATCCGTTCACAATACTCAACACAGAGCACTGTTCGCCTACTGCAGTTTGCCGAAGCCTCCGCGATTCGGCGGCTGGAACACACTTGGTGTGAACGGCGACCGGATAAAAGCAGACACGAAAACTGAGGAACGAAAACGGTGCACTCACATAAATGCGCACACGATAAATGCGTACACGGAAAATTGCGAACACGGAAAATGCGCCGGGTATAGACTTAAAGGCAAGCCTATGTAACTGGAATTGTTCGCAAGTAACAGCCGGCCACTCTCGGCTCCAGAATTCCTGCGGAATCAGTTTACATGTACTTAAACCCATGTATTTGCATGTCAAACCACAAAGCGATTATTCCGAACCACAGCTACAAAAAGAGGCAGGTCGTAAGTTGGTGGATAAAGAAACAAGCCCCTCGAACTCGTACAGTAAGGAGAAACTTGACCCGTAACTCATTATGCATATAATGTTTAGTTACTTATGGAGATATATTCCTGAACCGATCAATGAAGGTTGGCTCGTCAGTTCCATTTGTGCTGCTAACAATAATCAGGGTTTATCTAACTAAGACTTAGGTGGTCACAACACATCAACTGCTTGATAAACACCAGAGAATATTTTATTACTAAACGTTAAAATGGTGGAAAATTTCTACAATTGAATAGACCCACTTTAATCAACTGTAACATCAAATTGGTCCATGCTGCTTCGGATACAACCAAAAATTCGTGCTCCTCCAGCGCAGGGTAAGAATGCAACGGGAGACAAACTTCACCGTCTTGTTTCGAACGTGAATCACTGGATGATTGCCTGGAAATAGCACGGACCGACGCGATGTTGGGCTCAGACCGCGCCGATATCTGATCGCCTGGATCACGGCTGATGCTCCCATCCAGCGCACCAGCACCACTCAGCGTAATCGAACGACCCGAGTCAGTCAGTCCTGGAAAACCAAGCGCGTACCACACACGGTAATCGCTGGGATCCATCAGGTGCTCAGGCGGGACTTGGGGGAGACATCCACCCTGACTGTACCAAACGATGGAAGATTATTGTGTTAGTTAGACAGAGAAAGATATTATTTTGTAATCCGCAATCCTCCACTCTCCTACCTGCATGGCACACGCCGGTCCTTCCGTCTAAAATGCTTGAATGCCAGACTCTCTGTAATAATGAAATTACCAGCTAACTTTATTCACACAGACACAGTACAGTAAGATTTTCATCGAAGTAAATCTTGGTGGCTCGGATTGTTCATTTGATGGCGGTCTGTTCGGACACCAAATAACTTTTCGGTAATACTGTTAATGATGCTTATAACCAATCTAACAGACTACGTATTTACTGAATAGAAACTCACTTAGCGGGATAAAACGCAAGTTGCGATTCGCGAACGCCGCCACACATCTAACTTTTAGTGTCCCTACATCGCACCTGATGATGCCAGCAACCGTAGTATCAAATGCGCTTTATACCTTTTTCCAGTTACACCAAACAAAATTGTCTTCTATCAACCGGGTAACCAAATGGTCTACGCGCTCATTCTTCCGTTTGGTGTACTTCCAAGATAAGTGGGCGACCCTGCAGCCCCTGCGTTGCACGACAATTTTAAGTCCATTCACTCCGGTATGAACTCTACTAGCATGATGTCAAGGTAGTTAGGATGAGATTCCGGGTAATGTCATACAGTCATTCATTCATTGTACAGACTAGCTGCAAGTGGAAAACGCCTCAGCTATGATGCCGCAATATAAAAGAAAAGAAAAAAGTGAAACAGAGGCATGCCGGCTGAGTCACCAGTAACAGATGGACACCGTTCCGGAGAGCTAACAGCCCGACAATTGTGCCGAAAGAAGCCATAAAATGCCTATTAAGTGAGATCGTGGCTGGATGGTGAGGCTGAACGGAAGGGAACGGATAAAGGAGTTCACAACACAAACGCCACTGAGGTCTGCTCCCAGCTATGTCAACTAATGTATCGTGTCGCGTCCTGTAAATGCAATCTCCAGGAGTTCCTCAATAGCGAAGTTGAAGAGGAAAGGTGACAGCGGGCATTCTTGTCTTACACCGCTGGAGATATTGAAGGGCCACGACACCTGGCCATAGGCCCTCACTCTCCCCGAGCTACGAGCGCAAAGCGCTCGCATAATATTTACATACTACTCGGGAACACTTTCTTAGCAGACAGTCCCAAAGTGTACGTCGATTCACCGAATCGAAGGCATTTTTGATGTCGAGGAACACGACAACAGTGGGCCGCCAATATATATGACGGCGCTCCAACAACTGACCTAATGTGAATATGTGGTCGATGAATCCCCGACCACGCCGAAACCCGACTTGCTCTTGCCGAATCTGGATTTCACGAGTGCCAATCAGTCTGTAAAGGATGAGACAAGTAAGCAATTCGGAGGCGATGGAGATCCGACTGATTCCGCTATGGTTGCTGCATTCCGAACGCGAGTTTCGTTTGAAGATGGGGACAGCAAAGAAACGGCTCCAATCGGTTAGGACAATTTCCTGCTCCCAGTTTCACTAAGGATTAGTGAAAATCATCAACAAAAGCAGGGCCTCCGAATTTGAAGATGGTTGGATGCAGAGCATCTGGTCCCGCTTCAATTTAACTTCAACTTCAACAGTCCGATCTCACGTTTGACTTCTGAGCAGGAGAGCGGATCCAAAGCGACAGCCCAGGGAGCAGGGCGATCAATGGCCCGTGAGGTATCTAACAATTCAAGTCGATTAACTGGCTTTTCAAACTGTTCAGGCCAACGCTCCAAAAGTTTTGACAAGTTGTTGGGATAGGCTGTCCACTCTCATCACGTCGTTTCACTGACACTAAGTCTTCTGCTGTCTGTTTCCTATATCAGACGGCCTGTTCCATCTCTGACGCACGATGAGACTACCACAGTTCACAGACTCGCTTCAGGCGAACACGGAGTTTTGCCCTGATGTCTTTGCGAGTCTTGTTGTGTTCGCTTCCAGCCAAAATGTGCCAGTGAGCATCGATAAGTTCCAGAGACTGCGAAGAGATCCAATGTCTATTTTGGTTAGTGGATTTACCACATGACGATTAAGCTGCTTCAAGTAGGGTTTGGTGAACATGTGACCAGTGACCTTGAACCGCATTCAGTGAGTGCTTGCTCAACCCGAACGCCAGCATACTTCGATACGCATTCAGAACAGCTGGCTTCGCCAGTTGGCTGTTGTCTATGTCCTCACAGGGCCGTCGAGGGCGACCGCCAAAACGTCATACATGCTGAATACCGAAGCGTTTTGGTTTATCAGCCTTGATTTTTGTGCTGTGTTGTGGTGGATCTATTTACCTAGATACAGGTAGATAGTAATGCCAATAACATTCATGCTCCAGAGCATAGAAGAATTGGTGACAACAATACGCCGACATATGATATCGACTTTTCGCCCACACAAGACCACGCACGCCCACTCGTTGGCTGGGTATACCGCGAGGTAATTCGCGCCTACGCGGATTCGAACCTATGACCACCGGACTTCAAAGCAGTCGGGTACTCATTTCGGCCACCGACCGAGGGCGGCATGCAACAAATAAAATTACCAAATCACACAGTCAAAAACCAGGTCTCGATGGATGAACATAAATGAGAAACTGACGTCGTGAGTGCCTTAGTAGATAGGATATCCAGAAGACCCCATCCGAGAAATCAACAAAGTGACATAAACTTTCATTAGGTTCCTTTTTGTTTTCTTGCCATGACACTGACTTACCATCTCTGGATTTCAATAAATAGGTGCTACATTAACAGCCGACGTGCACCGAGGCATGTGAAGCATAAGCTCAAGCCAGCGGAAGCGACTTGAGCTTAACTGATACTTCAAGACGGCACCAGACAGTATGCCGACAGGCACAAAATGAAATATTTCTGTATTATGCGATAGGTTCTCCCACCAACACTAAGCAACACTTCGCGAGTATCTGTGGTCAAACAAAGTCAGTATTGTAGTGTCCTCAGAGCGCAAACATCAGGCCCATAGTCGATGCAGTAACAATCTTCATACCGAAGGGTTTTGGATCCTCCACTTAACCAGTAGGCTTGCATGCATCAGTCTCCATAAGTGACATGGGAGTTTCAAGGCAACACGGACCTCACCGACACCCATCATACGATCACCAGACTTGACACAGCTACCCAGTTATGGAAATTTGTCGACAACTCACGGCGGTTGTTCGCTGATAGAGAAAAGTGGTGTAGGTCAGTCTAGTTCTTGGCATTTTGAAGGTACAAAGCATCTACCTATTTAAAATCATGGCTTCGACATTGGCTCCAAGTTAAGTTAAGTATTTAAGTTGTTAAGTTGCTCTTAAACAGCAGGTGGGTGGAATGTGAACTAAGATCGGGAAACTCACCGTGTCTCGCCAGATGTCAACAAGTTGGTTGTATATGTGACTGTACGGTACCATTACATCAAAATGGATGGAAATGATCAAATGCGGCACCAGCACGGTTCGTCTGAACCCGGGTTACTTCACAGAAATGTCAGTAAGTCCCTTGTTTGCAAAGCTTGACAATCCTACATGCTACACGCTGCATAAAGATAACTGAAAACTGCAAGAAAAGAAAAAATTTGTTCTTCGACAAGCAGGCATCGTTTCTCCAAAGTGGGCAAGGGTTCCACGTATTCTTCTCGCATGGATCACAAAGTCATCGGAGCCCAGCGACCACATTTTGCGACGGTGGATTTACTGAAAGAACTGATTTCTTCGACGGCGCATATCTCTCCTGATGCAAGCGTCATGTTACTAATGCCATCTATGGCGGGTACCAAGTAGGTGATACAATGACTGATTCCGTTCCTTCAGCAGTTTCCTGATGAAATACAGATTACCACTACATGTACACATAGGAATGGCACCAGTATTTACGAGAAGGCAAGAGTGCCGAACCTTCGCATTTCCATCCGGTACCTGCACCGAATTAGAAACCCAAGAAGCCGAAGCACTCATGGGGTATTAGCGGAGAGATGCATAGGCACAAGCTTCGCTAAAAGTAGTCGGGTAACACGAACCCGCTGATAGCCTGTGCATAATGCAGTAAATGCTATTGCTTGCCTAGGAACTGATTTCGATCTTTGGAACCGATCAAAAGCATCTTCCAATTAGCTCACTCCATTTTCCTCTGGACTTTGTACACTTGTAGAGCAGATAACATTGTCTTGGGCCGCACAGGCATATCCAATCTTCGACGGCATCTGAATGTAGGAAAGCGCAGCTCATTCTTCTGCACACAGTAAGCCCGAGTGGTGCACCACACTGCCCTTTGCCGGATCCCCAACCGCTTCTGATTTTACAAATCGATCTCACAAAAACAACCATACCAAATAGTCTAATCTCGAGTTGTAGGGGACTATTAAGATCGTGGGCTAGCATCCTGTACTGTGAGCGACCATGGTTAGGATTACAAGTGGATGATTAAGGACTTGTTGCCACTTACTGTGGCAAAGATTAAATTTCTGAGTGCATGCCATCAAGGCATTTACCGGTGCCTGCAAGGGGCGCTAATTGTCCCAAGTGCCTCCACGAAAGTGAGCTCGGATCGAGAGAGCTTTGTTGCTCCATGCAGACATTAAAGACTTCATGATTACCCAATATTTTGGCTTCTAGTAAGAAATGTATTACGAAGGTTTCATAACAATACTGGAAGTGACGAAGAAGCGCAAACCTAATTTGATTCAGCTTCTTAAACCTAAACGACCTTTCACAAGACAAAATTTCAGAAGCAGTAAGTTAGGTTAGCAGATGACCCCAACAACTGCTTCGGAACCTTGCGCTAATCTACCTGATTCTCAATTGCTGGGATCCCACGTTTAAATCCGTGTTGCAGCTTGACCACAGCACGAGTCCGACAGGTCGGCATAGGAGGCTGATAAAACAAATTATTCGCCCTGATTGTCTTCCCATATTCCTCCTTTTACTAAGCTACGAGTTATGGAGTCATATTCCAGTAGCGTTTCTGTCTACCACAACTTTATACATATACTGGTCTATGTCAGTCAAAACGACTCAGCAGTGCCGTCATGTATGTATTGCACCATGATTAACCCTATCGTGGACGACCCAGATACGCAGCTTATTGTTTGTCGTATCCACTGCTTCTAAGCAGATAAAGATTTCGGCCCTCGAATGCATTAAATAAGTTAGTTACTGGGTACCATGCCTTTGCAACAAAACCTTCATTAACTTTGTAATTATTAAGTCGATCAACGGATTGGGAATACAAGTATTCATACTGTTACTCGTAACAAATAATAGTACCGTCATTCAACCGACTACTTCTAGCAAACTGGGTGGATTGCCCGTCTCATGGATTAGATGCGTATAGAAGTTCCTATCACTTCATTATTCTAACGTTTTCAAATAACCCAAATAAAGTTCGAACTGAGCCACAAGATTTTGACATTAATTGAAATCTGTTTGGTCATTTCGGGTGCAGAGAAGACTGCTAACCAACAACTTCGGTCCTACCTTGAAGAGTGGCAGAGGAATGCAAACTGTGCTTACTCCGCATAGTGACTGCGTTGGTTCGTTTCCACGTGCCATGTTGGATGGAAGTGTCCTAGTAAAATGAATAGATGAGTTCCAAAAAGCAGCCAATGAGGAACGAAGATGACGGATTCTATCTGGACACAACGTGTGTAGTTTCTCATCTACACAACACAGTCGACTAATCGAGGTTCTTGTGTGCTACGGCTTGTTCCTCGTCGCTGGTTTAGCCGTATCAAAGAAACTCACAAGTCCATAATATTAGTTGTTCATGGAGGTGCACTAGCAGTATATGTCAAAGGGTTCAAGGGATCACATGTGTTATAAGTCTGCTTGTCTATACTCGCTGAGTAAACTGCATCTCAACGAAGAGTCAACCCTTGCGATGCCACGCAGCTAAGGATGAAACAAGTTGAAATGGAACTTCAGAGGGGCATGCAAATGCTTGCAGCCTTCTTTACCGAAATGTTTTGCCAATTACCTTTCATGTGAGTGATTTTTCCACAGCACGGTGTCCTGTCGAAGAGCAGCGGAATGCTTCCGAGCATGTCTATGCCATTTTTGATGAGTGATTCACCTTAAGTTGTGCAGAAAATCAATTGAATTGTCAGCATTCGTATTCGGATTTGCCGTCACTATGGCCTCCAATGGAACAGCCACAGGACTCCCGCGCCTACTGAGAGACCATGAGTGGACTGCGCTGCACCACACACAGCGTCATACACACGCAATATATGCAGCGTAAACCACACGGAATAAGACCGGAAATCATGTGGATCGGAGACAAGGTTCAGCAACGGAGCCGGCCTAACTCCCTCCAAATGCACGCCAGCAGTAGCAGCAGCAGCAGCAGCAGCAGCAGTAGCAGCAGCAGCAGCATTTCTGTCTATCGAAATCATGCGTGCCACAAGTGCATAAGGCGTGGCTGGGCCACGGTCCGCTCCACAGTGGATGGAACCACCCTTTGAGCCAAGCATCGTCACGAGAATCCTGCACCCTATCTCCCTAAGCACCAATAAATAGTCTCCTGGGTCCAGTAATCGAGATAGAGGGTAATAGACAAGAGGCATTTTGTCAACATTCCCAACAAGCGCAGCCAGGCATTGCATATCAGACGGGATGTTTTATGCGTCAAGCGTACGTCCGTCAGACAGTCAGTCGAGTTTAGTCCGAGATGACAAAGCCCATCCTATGCTTCATCGGCCTGCGAACTAACACGCTAGACTGATGACACCATGGCCCCACTTCAAACAAACATGAGTCACAAATGCTACTGCAGTGAAAGTTTTCTTGCGTTTATTCGCATCCAGAATCGTCATTATCAGCCATCGCCGAGGTAATTAGGGACGTAGAGCTCTAGCTTACAGAGACAAGCGGAAAAAGTAGAGCCCAGTAAATTTGTACAGCGCCTTCATATATTTCCTGCCTATTTCCATAGACTTTGCCATTATTATTAGTAGTAGTATTATCAGCGCCGACGCAGTTCCAGTTAGAAGAGGAATGGTAACCGTCATCCAATCAGTGGAGCTTGGTGTAGCCAATAGCTGAGGCCGTTCTGTTCGCATCTGGCCGGCCACCCCGCAGATCTCGCTGATTTACCTGCCTCATCCTATCGTAGATTGTAGATTGTTGCGATACGGCTATATTGACTATGCCATTAAAGAATAAGAAAACGGTCTAACAGAGACTCAACATAAAACTTTACTGCCCGACGCAAACATGTGGGACTAAGGCACGTAATCTTTGCCAACACTACAAGGCCACAAAGAGCTACTTGTCGTGCGGAAGTGGAATGACATTTGTAAGACAGCCTGCTCTAAGTGTTTCTTGCCGCGCGTCATATCCAGACTTAACCAGCAGATAACTAGGCATTTCATCTTAACATGAACTTCTCACAAAGCCGACCTGTTTACGAAGATCCCAAAAATCTCGCGTGTCCGAACCATCGCGCCTGTCACTCACCAGAGCCGGGTCAAAGGACTGGTAGTGTATTTTGCAACTGGGCAACTTGACGTACAGCAGCTGGTAACCTACTGTACACATTGAATATCCTATCATTAGGCAAATCCTGCAGCCCAGTTCGGTTGCATTATAGTAAATAACATTTCCGGACGAGAAATCCGGTGTACCCACGGCTAGTTGGGGGACTGAGGTGAACACATACTAACAGGTTATAAAACTCAAATAGTAGGAATATACGCTGCCCTTCGCTACAACTCACCTACGTACAAATGTAGTCAGTGCAGCTAAGTGGTGGTAAACCGTGGCCAAAGACTTTTCTGGTTGACTCAGGTTGTAACTGACCACACTGGGGATGCCTGGAGGAGACTGCCCGTCACACAATTGCGTTAAACAGTCGTGTAGTAATCCAACGCTCCGAGTCACCAGGTTATCATCCCCGTTGGTTCTTCGTTTTGATCGCTGGTGTACTCCACGTGAGCTTGAAAAGTCCCTCTCACAGGCGGCCAAAGAAATACAGCTGGTAAAGACGACGATGAAACACAGTTAACTTTTTGTTTGATTCCGATTAAAGGTATTGTAGGACAACACTTTGTTTCATCTTAAATGATAGTTTGGTAAATGTCGGTGGGTATCTTGGTTAACCTCGCTACGAGAACAAGGTTTATCAAAGGAAGAGTTGAAACCCATGAACCAGAAATATTGTACCTGCGGAAGTCTTGTGGAAATTCAAATGAAACATTTCTATCAGGAAATCCGTGAACTGTGAGCCAGCGGTGAAGGAAATCCTTGACAGTCTGCTCTCCATCCTGGTGCCCGGTTGGTGTTGTGGTATTGATGGGCTGAGTTGTAAGACCGGTGTACCTGCAAATGTCCCATGGACAGAAATATATTCATACGTCAGAATCATTCCATACACTGTGACGAAATGAATGCAGGCTTTGTTAGGAGTTAGTTTACATGCAATAAAACTCGGTCATCTGGAGTGGGTGCATTGGTCCTCATTCGTGAGGTTATGTGATATGTTAATATGTCTAACTGAGCTGGTATAGGCCCAATGTTTACCCCCGGTGATAACTGAAACTTGACTACGCCCATTGGGAAGGTTGACGAACTACCCACTAAACGGATCCAGTTACTTTAGTTAGTGCAGTAAAAGGTCACTGTTTACCGTATCCACAAACCGCCAGGCACATCAAGTGGTTCCCTTATGGACTGGGGTAAGGTCCGTTTGGTATGCTTGAGTTGTGAACAACTAACGGGAATCAATCCCGCAATAAATGTACGTGTGTTAATGTGATACACGTAACCACCTACAATTGTCTTAAAAGTGCTACCATAGATACTTTCAGGTTAGTAAAAGAACAGCAGAAGTAGAGCCACAAAAATCAGCGCAAATCAAAGGGAGGTCTTAGGTACGATTGTCACCAAAGACTACACTGTGCATTTCCCTGTTTTCACACGCCGTTTCTCTTTCTTTGGCATCTTCATGGTCAGTATCACCAAGCCCTAGTCAAGCATGGGTGCAGCTCCTTCACAGTTCAGTTGCGTAGCAAATATTTACGAGTTTCGAGCCATCTTCATTCTTTTGTCTTGAATTCCACACCGGGAAGATGATCCTTAGGTGACTGGATGAAAAGTCGACTATTTCATATGGTGAACATCAGGCGCTATCTCATCCCCCTCCGTACGACTGAGTATTTGGCGATATACTAAATGCTCAAGTAACAAGTGTAGAATGTGACATAAGTATTTCGATTGACATATCAATGCATCCCTGTTGAAGAGAAGGTTAATTCTACAAGGCACAACCTATGGCTTCATCATCGTGAACACGGTGTTACCACTACATGAGAGCGATTCCCCAACCCAAACTCTTACTATCAAAGGCTGGAAGTCGGTCTACGTTATCCATGATGAATAACGACGTCATAAACCCTGTTCTGTAAGCAGAGTGAAGCATCCCAACAAAGCAACACATGTTCCAGACTGACAGACGTCACACAGGCTTTGGCGAGGTGAAGAGAAATATCATTTCGGATAGTGCCACCAGCAGACGCGCAACTCTTTAAATGGACAAATCTGTCCGCCTGTTCAAACCGCGTACCTTTAATATATATATTTTTTGCAACAGTCTGTGAATAGACATTGCACCATCGAAAACCATGGAACTCAAAACAAGGTACAGAAATAGTAAAAGAAAACACAACACAACACAACAATGTCCACGGTTTAATGGTGAGCATAGGAACGGCTGAGTGCCAATCCTGAGTCGGTAATTTATATTTCCTAATAAAAAATCACTTACCATACTTAAATATTCAAGTTATCGAGCGGTTCAGGAGTTATACACTGCAAGTCATCAGTCAATAAGACGATATCACCAACCGCGAGCTTAACGGAAAACTCCAAGCCAAAATTCTAATTCTCCATAGATCTAGGATGGGTGCCATCGATCTTAAAATTAGACAGGGCCAAGGGTATGGGGCACCCCTATTATACATCACTAATGATAGCAATGAACAGGGCAATCTTGCCATAAACCCCAATCTATGATCGGCATGGAGGTATGACGCGCAACGACGATAGTACACATTTCAGGGACCCCAGTTCATAACAAATGAAGTCCATCAGTAGGGCCAACTGCAGTCTGGATGTCGAGGAGCACGAGGTTGGTAGAGGTGGCAGGATTCAGAGAGCTGGAAACACGTGCAGGTTTAACCCACACACCTTCAGTCGAGGCGAAATTCAGCTTGTATTTCGCAGCAGCGTGATTCATGGTTTCGAGATAGTAAGTGAAACAGGATGGGTGTTAATAACTCGGGAGCGGGAACCGAACAATGGAACAGTGGAGTGTAGCGGATAAAAATAGTGCTGCCATATAAGTCCCGTGGGATAGAAAAATTATTGGGAACTGTTATAATTGAGAGAACGCCGCCTCTGAGCTAATTGCGTAATTGCCTGATAAGAGGGTCGCTGGCACGCCTACGATAATTGCTTGTTGCGCTGACCACTCGAACGGAATTACGCTGTCCTGATGACACTGGCTTAGCCGGTGAGGCGGATAATTGAGCGAGCTAGTGAACGATCCTAGCCGCAAGTGTTCGGATAGACGCCAAGCCTCGGAACGGACGCAGACGAGAGGGGGGGTTTACGATAGACGCGCGGCTAATGACTTAGACGCGAAGGCTGGCCAGCTAACAACTCACACGCAATCACTCGATCCGAGCGACTCCCAACTGAGGCGACCGACAAAGGGCGATCACAGACGGTGCTATGGGTTATTAAGTTAAGGAAAACTGTCACCACGAAGAGGTGGTAGTTGGTAAATGACCATGGTCAGAAGATGCGCAGTTTGGGCCGCGTCTCGGATTGGCTGAGCTCTGCTGCGTTGTGGGGAGGAATTGGACCCCGCTTCCCACAGCCATTCTGTCGGGGTTTCTGGCGTGTTTTTGCGGGGATTATTTGACGTGCCCGCAACAGGAACATAAAAATTCATTATAAAGTGAAATGCGTTTTGTTGGACCCACCCTAGACATGTGTAGAAAGGCGAGGTTCACAATGTAAGAGTATAAATCCATAAACCCATTTGTTGGAATTTTGGAAACACACGGTTTTGTTGCGTTTTGTAGTCTCCTTGCTAACACAAGTTGTAAAATGAAATGCCGATGGGAACACGCTTTGTCAAGTCGTTTTTTAAATATCGTTAGAATAGGGGCAGCAACGACATAAATTGGGAGAACGTTCCGCGGCTGACACACTTGGAGGAAAAAGAAAGCTCTACGACATTTTAGCCGGCTATACTGCATTGTCAGTTGCAGAGGACGACCTCTCAGGTTAGTGTTGCCGTTCAATTCCAGCAGCAAGCAGCAAAGGTGGCTTGAGTCCTTCGGAATCTGGTAAGCCATTATGAGATCCCCCGCAGACACCGATATCGACTGCTGTATAGTATTAGGGCAGATTGAGGACCTACTCGGTTGCGCTACGCTGCAGAGTCTTGGGAGCAGCGAGGTCCTGTTTCTGTCATGGTTGCCACCTCTGGATAGCATATTCCACTTGCCGTCGCAAGTAGGCTTTAAGCATTCGTGGAAAGATTAGGATGTGAAACCAAGCTAACGCCCAACAAAGAAAACCAAAGTGTTGATTGCCTGTTTTCGATGCCTTCTGCTGGTTTTGAGCATCCGACATCGTCCTGTACCAGCACACCCAATTCACGCTCCTGAGAGGCCTTCTGCAGGTTGTGGTCTCCAGGCTTTTACAAGCTCACCGGCTGGTGACGCAGATGGATCACCTTGCATTTAGCTGTGTCCAATTGGAGTAGGTCCCTGGTTGACCTTTCGTAAATGCAATCCATGTCTTCTTGGAGCAGATCGCGATCTGCTTTATTTTTAATCGCTCGCCATATCGACATTATCGGCTAAAAGCATGAAGGTGGAGGAGATAACTTTTCAGGTCGTTGACATGACTCGCTGTGCTTGATGTATAAAGTGCGCGCACCTTTCTTGAGATCTTGGATGGCTGCTGGCTCAACTAGATAAAGACACTTATTCTTCAAGTCAGCTCTAGGAGAATGGTGACGTCAAGTGCCACGATTAAATGTTCGACGAAATGGCTAAACCATTGGCAAGGTAGAACCAGTTTCAACGCTACCATTTGTTCAAAACTGGACCTCAAATAGAGGAGCAAGCCCCTTTGGAATTTCATACAAAGCACCATCACTATAAGGCCATCCCTCATGGGATCCATTCTTAGCTACGAATAAGGCGAGGTGCATAAAAGTAGCAGGTCAAAACCCATGCGTCCTGATGAAACGAAGGATGGGACCGCATTCCGAGTTCCACAAGAGCCCCATTGCACGAATACCTGACTTACGTTATGAGCACCCACTAAAGGCATATGGATTTCTTCAAATAAGTACAGATGAATTAGTTTACAGGTTTATTGATTACGACCAACCACATGATACCTGTGCATAAACAGGGGCCCTGAGGAGTTTGTGCTGAACCAAGCATAGCACCACACATGCTAAACGCGGAAATCCAGCAGAGCGAGTTCTGCTCTTTTGATGCCGACCCCCCACAACTGCAAATGCATCTAACTCGTGGGTCAAGGCACTTGTAGAGACCGCTGATGCACGTTACCTCCGCAGAATATACGAGCTTACTGTGGCCAGTTTAACTTCCATAGAATCGGTGCCAGAGTCGAGAGTTGGGGGATTCCACAACCTAGGTGGCGGCTGAGTAACGGCCCACTATGAGTGCATTCCAGCAAACAAGCTGGTTGTATGGGATGATCATACACATTTTCAGCTCTCGTATCGTACGATATTATACCGGCCACAGTAATAGGCGTCAACCATGCGGCAACACAAGTTCAGTCCGTGGAGTAAAACTTTGTCGCGGGTGCCTAGGTACAGCTTGTGTCACGGCACATGTGTGACGAAAACGAAATTGCTCTATTCCCCTGGAAATAACAACGGACACAAACACTTGTTATCCATATTAGCTATCAGTTTCAATAAAATTGGTAACCTGCAAGTCGGAGTTGGTACAGGAGCCCATAATGCACTCCCATGTTCGGCACTTATTACTTTTACCATTCATGCGTTGCCGGCTGAGGACTACGTATCACAGGTACCGTCATAATGGCTACTGCATGTCTGCCATGTAACTCTGCTGTGATTGGGGCTGACAGGTGGGGCTAATGGAATCGCCTGCCGCAGTGTGGTCGATCAGGCGATTGATCGAGTGGGCAGGTAAGTTTATAAAATCACAGTTAGTTGTACTTTGTCTGTGACTTGTGAATACAGCGTTTGTGTGCATAGCCGGTGTGTTTCCTTGCTCTTGACCCGGCTGGCAGAACCAGGTACGCAACATCTGCCATCCGCATCAATATTGCACACCTGTTCCTTGCTACAGCCGGTGCGACATCCGCGACTGTTATGGTTGTTACTCTTATCGTGCAACTGCGACTGGCTTATCGTAGGTACTAAATTCGAAAAAAGAATGAGCGCTGAGGTCCACACTACTTAGCCGTGCGTTTAATCGCCATTCCTTTCCATCTAGCCAAGCAAAAATGGGGCCCGGGCGAGTTGTGTTATGAACCGAATAGTCCTTATTTACACAAAACTGCGCAAATGCAAGCAGCAAGTGAGGACCACGCCTTGAATACCCAACATCTCAAGTCAACGAACGTAGAAAATGTTGAAATTTTAAATAATTGACGAACATGTTGCCCAACAATGTGAGGAAAACATAGGTGGGTCGTAGGTAAAGCATTTTACAAACGGCCAGTTTCAAAGAGAAAGCAAGTCTCGTTCGATCAATAAGCATACCAATTTACTTATTTATGTGTTTAGCTGTGTATTTAGCCCGAACGTAGCAAGCGGCGAATACTGGTTTAACAACCGACAACTTGTCGTATGGTTGGCGGCATTCGTTTTCGGATTTGCCTGTCACTGTGGGCTCCACGAGGACAGCTACATACGCCTGCGACTACTGAGGGACCTGGGTGGACTGCGATGCAGCGCTCACAGCCCCAACCACCAAACCCATATTCTGTGTGAACTCGAAGGAATAAGACAGGGAACCATGTGGATGGGTACAAACAAATGCAAATATAATAAACAGTCAGAATAAATTTGAACGACCAATGAAGTACCGCAGGAGACAAACAGAGTTTTCGGTCAAGTAGGTGTAAATTTTCTGCACGTTTTCAATTATTTCAACATATTTTCATAGCACATAAGGAACTACGTAGGGTTCACTATAGTTGCAATTGAAGCAACAACCATGCATGATTGCGAACACCGGCAACGCCAATGGGCAGCATAACAAGCTCCCGTTTTCTATCTTAATCAAAGTGGAACCTGATCAAGCTTATGTCCCCGTTTTTCGCGTGAACAGGCCATGTGTTTAAGAGATAAAAACAAAGCAGACACATAACAGCATGGAGTGGTGACAGACTCACTGGGATGAGTTATCCTTTCTTTTAGACAAATTTGTTTCGATACCTATGGTTTTAGCAAAGACAAACGAAAGCACAACATTAACATCAGGTGTAGAAACGGTTATGTGATACTATCCCCTTAGGTGCTGGAAGTAATGAATAAAAATGGGCATATATGCACCAATACAGTATAAATATTAAAAATGGCATGCCGTTCTTGTTTGCTGACAATAACAATTTTTCTATAAGTTCCAACGAGTTGACTTCCAAAACGTACTACTACTCATTCAGGATGATCTTTATCCCATTACGACATGGTGTGACAATTGAATGAGAAAGTTGTCCGCACAGAAAAAGTATCCTTTCTTGCGGTTCCTTGATAACTGATGGACCTGTCACACTTAACAACGAATGCTTATGTGTACAACTGTCTAAAAACAATGATGGAATCAGATATTCTCGCAACTTTAACTTTTCTGAGCAGAATGAATATCAGTTAGCACGAGCCAGACAATCCGAGGCCAATGTACCTCACAAGGTGCCTAGGATCTCGGTCAAGATCGAACTTCTTAATATCCATTCCGGAACGTTGCAGTATAATGTGTGGTAGCATGAGGTAATCCGACAGAATAGCTACAGAAATCATACAGTGGTCGTATACCAAACGCCTTGTAGCCAAAAATTTTATAAGAAATATGGGGAGCCATAAGAGCAACTCCATCTAGATCCCCTTTGCCTGTGAAGACTAAGGCATAGCTTGATATTGCTGTACAATCTGATTCAGGCCAATGCCTGTCGTGATCAAGGCACATTTACATTGCAGCACATGTCCACTCGGGACCTTCGTAACAAAGACTATACTCTGATTATGCCAATATGCAGGGCGAATCTGCGGTCCAACTACTTTCTAATCGGAAATGTTACTCGATGGAATCGGCTCCCAATCACAATCAGGCCGTGTGCATGCGCCTGACGAGCATCGATGCGTGGATCAGGTTGGAAAGTGCAAACCGACTTGCGTTGTCAACACTATCGGCTTATCCGTCCATGTCATGACGAACAAAGGAACATCTGAACTATTCCATCCGTGATTGAACCCCTTGAGGTGACATCACGAACTGTGACACCTTGGCTCAAGTCTCGGGTAACGCGGTTATTGCCCCTGTTTGATATAAAATCCCACTCCAATCGCACACTGATTTATCTGGTCTGACGAAGCTCTTGTGTCAAGAAGGAAACGTTGCCAAACTACTATACCAACCGATTGTTTCCAAATTTCTCTGAACTCATGATTACCCGCTAGGTTCTAAGTATCTTCCAAGAATTTGATAGTCCGACATTACTGCTGGTGGCCAAATGGCACAAATATTGAGGCATTTGTGAGCAACTGTCAAACTTGTCGAATAGCGAATAAAAGTTCGCTGTTTGTCGAGGCTCCAGTGCAACCTGGGCCAAAATGGTAATTGATGTTAAGGGCCCCTTTGTCACTGCTACAGTGAATCCGAAAAATTTACTTGTTGCAACCTGCGTTTACAGCAGATGGCCTGAAGTTCATATATGTGACCAAGTAACCTCTTCCGTAGTGCTGCGATGGCCCAGTCGCTTTGGAGTACCAGAGGAAGTGGTTACAGATAACGGTCCCCGATTCTGTAGTTACGAATGCGAAACTTTCCTCCAACGACATAATTTAAACCATTCCCGGACTGTCCCCTACAAGCCTGCAGCTAATGGAGCGCATTAATCGATCTCTCAAGGAGGCAATACAGGCCATTCAACTAGGAAGGGTAGAGTGGGAAGAAGCTGTCTTAACGGCGCTGCTATCGTACGGAACCATTGAACACAGAGCCACATGGAAAACGCCTGCCGAAATGAGGCTAGGAAGACCCTAGCGCATCAAACTAAATGCTGCACACAACATGTTCATTTCAGTAAATCCCGAATTGCCAAACCGCATGGCAACATACCAGAAACCCTACGCTAAAACCACATTTCCACTGAATCCGGGATCATTTGCTCGGATCAAAAATAGGAGAACCGCAAATGGTCATCCAACTTTGACGGCACCGTTGAGAATCACGCATGCGTGTGCCCTGGAAGATATCGAGTGGAAAATGGCTTGATAGTCAATGCCTGCCGGGTTTACAGCGCATCTGCACCGTCCTCACAGTCTAGCCAAGATACGTGTGAAACTCAGGCACGGCCGGCCGCACCTTCCCGTGAACGACGAAGGTCTAGCCGCACACCGAAGCCGGTTGATCGATACCAACCTGCATGAAGCAAGTTTTCCGACGGAGAGTGGTGTTGTGACTCGATACCCTAGTTATCCTGCTTGGCTGAACTACGCACAACGCTGCTTGATCGATTAGGGGAATTGTTAGTGAGTGTCGTTTTTTCTTCCTAGGCAGTTGTACGTTCTATGTGCCTCCTACAATATATTGCCGTTACTTCTATCTTCTTCTGATACAACAGGCACCTTGTCAACATGCACATCAAGCCCAGCCACACCGGGATGTCAAACAACAGCCAATCAGTTGAAATTAGATTAACATATAATATATATTGAATAACGCATACGAAAATGATGACACAACTCTAAGCTAAGTGGGCATATGTAATAAATTGGCTATCAACAAATCCATGGTAAGTTCAAGATGGCAGAAAATATCTTTCTTTTTGTGAATGCCACAAATGCGAATATGCTAACGAGCTTAGCCACAATTAGCTTAAGCAACGCATGCAGGTTAATAGATTATTCAGGCAGACGTTAAAATGAGGTAACAAAGTATAAGAATTAAGACAAGATAGCAAACCCACCACCTGAAATAAAGACGCAGCATGCAACCACGCGGTTAGTAAATCGAATGCAGCGTACCTACAAACGCTGCGCCTGCACCGCTTACGTTTCCAGTAGTACCCGTCGTCTTTACGATGTTAGTCCGGAGTGGTCTGGCTCGTAGCTCGCTAGGCCTGCCTGACTCAGGCACTCGCGACCGCATGTGCTACAGCCTCATGCGTTCGACATCGATGGAGTACATCCCATCGGCGCTTGTCGCTTCCGCACTTGACTTTTCTTCTCTGCATACACCAGGGCTTTCTCCTTCACCTCCGCAACTGCTTTCGTGATCAGATCGAGCCATGCAAGCCGATCAATCTTTTTCGATTCACTTGACCTGCAATCAAGATTAGAACGTGAAAGGCTCACTTTGATCATGTCCTGGTAAGGAAGCTTCGATTTCCCCACTTGTCGCCTCTCCACCCTCAGCTGACCATATAACAGCTGGTTCGGTATTCGCGTCGAATCTACACGCCACACATGACCGAGCCACCTCAGATGTCTCAGCAAAAGTATGCAATCCACTGCATACGTTCCACTTCGGCTCAACACCTCCGCGTCTGCAATTCCGTCGCACCAATTGATGCACAGAATTCGTCGCAGAAACTGTTGACGGAAACGTCCGAGATATCTCACCTCTCGCTGGTAGATCGTTGATATTTCGCTGCCGTACACAAGAACTGACAGCACCATGGGTTTGTAGACCATCAGCTTCGTGCCGACGGTAAGCTGGTGGTTGTTGCACACTATGTACTCAAGCTTCCTAAATGTCGACGGTGTCTTGGATACGCGGACACGCAGTTCACAGTGTATTTGCTGGTCAGTCGAAATCACACTCCCATTGCCGATTGCACCTCCGGTGAAGGCTGAAAGACGGTTTTGCTTGTGTTGATGGTGAGCCCGAATTTGGCCGCTGTCGAAACCAGAGCACTAGTCATGAAAATGAACAATGATTTATAACGGGTAAAAAAGCAGGTGCTTGACATGTCCCGTAGGGTGTTTAGCGTGACAAAGAAGGATAACGAAGGGATAATGGAGTCGTCAATTCAGGCGCTTACAGATGTAACTGCTCTCTCCTATATACGGAGTTTGAAATGAGAATGTACTCACAGAAAGCAACAGGGGAGTGGTTATTGTTCACATCATAGGCGAGAAAAATAAGAAAGGTAGCAAGGACAACGCTTATACGTGTGCAACTATCTTGGGTCGACAGGACATAGTTATTCAGTTTCTGTAGTAGTAGCGTTTATCAAATTTCTTGCAAGGCGTTTGGAATGACTCATTCTCGAGAGCGTTATGGCACTATCCCCTGCCTGTTGTGCATTTGTGCCAGCATCTGGTGGTCATGAGCTATAGCACGTACTGTAAATGTGACAGGGTATTGTCAAAGCGTTTTTTGATAAGGGATAGGGTGGGTGCATTAATTATATGTTCCGGGAGGGCGTTCCAAGGCTGTGCCACTCGGTGGGAGAAATATTTTCGCCGACATTCCAGGCGGTTGCACTGCGTGACTAACTTAAACTGGTGACTTTTTAGCGAGGTGTTTTGACTGAGTATTAGAAGGGAATGGCTTGGGTGGTTGGGGTCTCTCAGGATTAGGTACACCATTGAGATCGCCCCTTAGACGCCGATAACGTCCACTGAGGGTCTTTAGCCTGAGTGGGTAGGGGAGGCTGGTCAAACCTCGGACGCTTTTCGTTGCCCTACGTTGCGCAGTATCGAGCGCGATGAGATGGTGCTTGAGCCAGGGTTGCCACGCTTGGATAGAGTATTCCGCGTGCGGCCTCACGTACGCACTAAGCATTTTTGGGATGAATGAAGGATCAAACTTCCCGAAGGCTCTGCGAAAAAGGCCGACGTACTGGTTCGTTTTGTTAGCTGCCTTTTCAGTCTGCCTCGAACAACCGAGGTCATCTTGAACTATCACACCGAGATCGCACTCATGAGAAGCCCGCTGTAGAATTTGTGGTCCTAGGCGATAGTTGTGCATACTCTTGTGCCGTATACTGTGAACTTTGCACTTGGTGACGTTGAAATGCAGCATGTCCTCGATGGACCATGTGTACGCTTTGTCCAGGTCCTCCTGTAAGACTGTGTGATCCTCCATTGCAGCTATAGTGCGCCATACCTTTAGGTCATCAGCAAATCGAAAACAGTTAGAAGATAGCACGCTCGCGAGATCAGTTATGAAGACCAGGAACAGGCGGGGTCCAAGTACCGAGCTTTGAGGT